AGGCTCTTTACTCTGTCTGGTTACTACGTTTGTCTGGATCCATCTGACCTCTGGATTTGAGCTAGCAGCTGTCATATTTTGGATCGGTCAGCCTCCACAGCAACTAGCGTGACATCTGAACAACTGATCGTGGATTCTTCAAACTTTGAGCCACCAACATCGGGAAGGTTTCTAGCTGGACTTCTGATCCACAGACTTGGGCCTTGTGGGCCTCTACCAACCATGCTCAGCAGCTACACACGAAAGATGGGAGAGGAAGCCAAAGATGACAAAAAGCCAACAGCGAAGTTTAAACTTGAGCAAGAAACTGAACTCCGCTTTGAGGTGGAAGCATCTCAGTCAGTTCAGCTGGTGCTACTGGCCGGTATGGCAGAAATATTTGGCACAGAATTGACGCGCCACAAGAAATTCACCTTTGATGCAGGTGCCAAGGTGGCCGTTTTCACTTGGCATGGCTGTTCTGTGCAGCTGAGTGGCCGCACTGAAGTGGCTTATGTTTCCAAGGACACCCCAATGCTGCTTTACCTCAATACCCACACAGCCTTGGAGCAGATGCGGAGGCAAGCGGAGAAAGAGGAAGAACGAGGACCCCGGGTGATGGTCGTGGGCCCCACCGATGTGGGCAAGTCCACGGTGTGCCGCCTACTGCTCAACTATGCAGTGTGATTGGGCCGCCGTCCCACCTACGTGGAACTGGATGTGGGCGAAGGTTCCGTGTCCATCCCCGGGACCATGGGTGCCCTCTATATTGAACGTCCAGCAGATGTTGAAGAGGGCTTCTCTATCCAGGCTCCTCTGGTCTATCATTTCGGCTCCACTACTCCTGGCACCAACATCAAGCTTTATAATAAGCTTACATCTCGTCTGGCAGATGTGTTCAGCCAGAGGTGTGAGGTGAACCGGAGGGCTTCTGTGAGTGGCTGTGTCATTAACACCTGTGACTGGGTTAAGGGCTCTGGTTACCAGGCTCTGGTGCATGCAGCATCAGCTTTTGAGGTAGATGTTGTTGTGGTTCTGGATCAAGAACGGCTGTACAATGAATTGAAACGGGACTTGCCCCACTTTGTACGTACCGTACTCCTTCCTAAATCAGGGGGTGTAGTTGAGTGCTCCCAGGACTTCCGGCGAGAATGTAGGGACGGACGTATCCGTGAGTATTTTTATGGCTTCCGAGGCTGTTTCTACCCCCATGCCTTCAATGTCAAGTTTTCAGATGTGAAAATCTACAAAGTCGGGGCCCCCACCATTCCAGATTCCTGTTTGCCTCTGGGCATGTCTCAGGAGGACAATCAGCTCAAGCTAGTACCTGTTACTCCGGGACGAGACATGGTGCACCATCTGCTGAGCGTTAGCACCGCTGAGGGCACGGAGGGGAACCTGTCCGAGACGAGCGTTGCCGGCTTCATTGTGGTGACTAGTGTGGACCTGGAGCATCAGGTGTTTACGGTCCTCTCTCCAGCCCCCTGGCCACTACCTAAGAACTTACTTCTCATCATGGATATCTGGTTCATGGATCTTAAATAGAGATCTTTGGACCATCACCAAAGGCAGACAGGCTGAGATTGGAGACTGTTAGGGCCAGGCTGACTTCTACCCTTTATCAGATGGAAAGCATTATCTTCTACCTCGTAAAACTCAGAGTGGTAAAAAAAAAACAAAAACAAAAAACCAACCTCAGAGTGGTAACCTGACTAATCGTGAACCAAAAACAAAACCTTCGCCTGAGATGCCATTTTGAATACTCCAAGATCATGGAAAATTACATTTCCTTCACTGTGCTATTATTATGGGGACTAATTTTTATGAGAGATAATTTTTTAACTTTGCTCTATAGTTGGAATACAGTGTTTGCTATTAATCTAAGGTGAAAGTGCAAATCGGGATGACTCCAGTGAAGTTTGAACTTGGAGAAAAATATATTTTCATAAATATTTTTGTCATAATACAGTAATTACTATAATTTTAGATGTTTTCTACCCTCAGCAGAACAGTGTGTGATTGGAATGGTTTATTAATAATTTCTTGTAAGAAGGTCTAGAGCCCACCTGTGAGCATGCAAGTGAGTGTTAACATTCTTCTTTGCATTAAAATTTAGATGTTAAATTCCTACCAGGTTTACTGTGGGGAACTTAAAGCTGGTGATGAAACTTCAGATGAGCTTTCAGATCATTTTCAAGAGCTGGCTCATTTGCACTTAGTTCAGCTATTTTTGCTGTTGTTTGTTTGGAATCCCACTCTTTGTCAGAAAATCATTTCAGCCTTTTGGCGGTAAGAAGCTGAGAATACTCATTCCCTTTGAGTTCTTTGACGATATTGTTTGGTGTTCCTACTTTGGACTTGGGTTATTTAACAAGTGTCATTTGAGTACCCACTATTTGCCAGGCTGGGCCAGGCCCCGGAGAGCTGGGCCAGGCGTCACCAGTACCCTGAGGGCCAGGCCAGGCCGGCCCAGGCCCAGGAGGGCAAGTCCAGGCCACGACGGGCTAGGCCGGGCCAGGTCCAGGAAGGCAAGGCCAGGCTGAGCCGGGCCAGGCCTGTCCAGGCCCCGGAGGGCCGGAAGGCCGGACCATGCCGGACCAGGCCCCATGGGGCGGACCAGGCTGGGCCAAGCCCCGGAGGGCCGGGTGAGGCCCGGCCAAGCCCCAGAGGGCCGGGCCAGGCCGAGCCAGGCCCAGGAGGGCAAGGCCAGGCTGGGTAGGGCCAGGGCAGGCCAGGCCCAGGAGGGCAAAGCCAGGTTGGGCCAGGATAGGCCTGGCCAGGCCCAGGAGAGCAAGGCCAGGACGGGAAGGGCCAGGCCCCAGAGGGCCTGGCCAGGTGTGGCCAGTCCCCAGAGGGCCGGGCAAGGACGGCCCAGGCCCAGGAGGGCAAGGCCAGGTCGGGCCAGGATAGGCCTGGCCAGGCCCTGGAGGGCAAGTCTAGGCTGGGCAGGGCCAGGCCGGGCCACGCCCCAGGGGGCCGGACCAGGCAGGGCCAGGTCCCCGGAAGGCCAGGTCAGGTGGGGCCAGTCCCCAGAGCGCCGGGCCAGTCCAGGGAGGGCCGGGCCAGGCCGGGACAAGCCAAGGAGGGCAAGGCCAGGCCGGGCTGGGCCCTGGAGAGAAAGGCCACGCTGGGCAGGGCCATGCTGGTCCAGGCTGGAAGAGGCCCCGGAGGGCCGGGCCAGGTCGGGCAAGGCCAGGAGGAAAAGTCCATACCGGACCGGGCTAGGCCTGGCCAGGCCCCGGAGAGCAAAGCCAGGCAGGGCAGGGCCAGGCCGCGCCAGGCCTCGGAGGGCCGGGCCAAGTGGGACCAGGCCCCGGAGGGCCAGATCCGGGAGGCCGTGCCAGGACAGGACAGGCACTGGAGGACAGGGCCAGGCCGGGCCAGGGCCAGGAGGGCAAGGCCAGGCCAGGCTGGGCCAGGCCGGGCCAGGCCCATGAGGGCAAGGCCAGGCCGGGCAAGGCAAGGCCGGGGCAGGCCCCAGAGGGTCAGGCCAGGCTGGGCCGTGCCAATCGGGGCCAGGCACAGGAGGGCAAGGCCAGGCCGTGCCAGGCCCTGGAGGGCCGGGCTAGGCCGGTCCAGGCACCGGAAGACCAGGAAAGGTGGAGGCAGGCCCCGGGGGGCCGGGCCAGGCCAGGCCGGGCCAGGCCGGGAGGGCAAGGCGAGGCCGGAAAGGGCCAGGCCAGGCCAGGCCAGGCCAGTCAAGGCCGAGGAGGGCAAGGCCAGGACGGCCCAGGCCGGGCCATGAGGGGCGAGGCCACGGAGGGCCGGAGCAGGCCGGGATAGGCCCCGGACAGCAAGGCCAAGCCGGGCCAGGCCCAAGAGGGACCGGCCAGGCCAGGCTGGGCCAGGCCCCGGAGGGCAAGGCCAGGCCGGGCCAGGCCCCGGAGGGCCGGGCCAGGCCGTGCCAGGCCAGGCCCAGGAGGGCAAGGGCAGGCCGGGCCGAGCCAGGCCTCCCAGTCCCCAGAAGGCAAGGAAACGCTGGGCACGGCCAGCCCGGGCCAGGCCCACGAGGACTAGGCCAGGCCAGGCAGGGCCAGGCCGGGCCAGGGCCAGGAGAGCAAGGCCAGGCCAGTGGCCGGAGTCAGAAAGCCAAGAGAGTCATCTAAGCACATTTTTTAAAAAGTATTGATGCCTTTGAGTTTTGGTGCTAGAAAAGACTATACCATGGACTGTCAAGAGAACAAATAGGTCTGTCCTGCAGAGGGTGAAACCAGGCTGCTCCTTGAGACAAGGATTTTGAAGCTCCATCTCACATACTTGGGGCATGTGGCTGGGAAGGACCAATCCTTGTAGAAGGACATCGTACTTGGAAGGGAGGAGGGACAGCACAGGAGAAGAAGACCCTGCATGAGATGGATTGACACCATAACTAGGGTCGGCGTCAGTGAGATTGGCAGGTTAGGGCAGAGTTCTGAACTGTTGTTCATAGGGTTGCTATGAGTCCTAGTCCACTCAACTGGCAAGTAACAACAATAAATGAATGAAAATATAGTGTGATTTGTTATCTTTCACTCAAAAAAAAAATTTTTTTAAAAAAAGTGGTTGGAAGGCTTTGTTAAAATATCAGTCTCTACCCAGATGGTATAGACTATGAATTTGATCACATTTTGACATTTAACAATTAAGATCTGTATGTATCAAATAACTAGGAAAAGTTATGCTCAAAACTTAAGGGTGATAAAAGAACAATGAGAGTAAAAACTAAGTGGGTTTAAGACTTGAAAGACAGTTCAACAGAATGAAATCACAAAATATATAATCAACCTCATAATTAATAATGAAAATTAAAATAACATATGATTTTCACAAATCATAGAATTAGTGCCATGAAAAAAGTTTTAATTATTAATAACCAAAGCAATAAAGATCCTTTTATTAATATTGTGTGTACCGTCAAGTCTATGAGGAGGAATGTAGCATCAGGATTGGAGGAAGATTCATCAACAACCTGCATTATGCAGATAACACAACCCTTCTTGCTGAAACTGAGGAGGACCTGAAGCACTTGCTTCCGTCAAGGACTTCAATATGGATTGAAGCTCAACATCAAGAAAACAAAGATTCTCACCACTGGGCCAATTGGCAGCATCATGATAGATGGAGAAAGATTGAGATTGTTAGCAGTTTTAGTTTGCTTAGCTCCACAATCAACACTCTTGGTACCACCAGCCAGGAAATCAAGAGACTAACTGCATTAGTAAAGTCAGCTATAAGGGAACTGTCCAGAGTACCGAAGAGCAATGGCATCATGCTGGAGACTAAGATGCTACTGAACCAGGCCATAGTCTTCGCAGTTGCGTGCTATGCATCAGAGAGCTGGACAATGACCAGGGATGATAGAGAATTTATGTCCTTGAGCTGTGGTGCTGGAGAAGAGTGTTGAATATACCATGGACTGCTAGCTGCAAAAACAGCTTTGTCCTGAAGAGTGTAAAATGGGGCTGCTCCTTGGAGGTGAGGATTCTGAAGCTTCGTCTGACGTACTTTGGACATGTTACAAGGAGGGACCAGTCCTCGGAGAGGGACATCATGTTTGGGAGGGTGGAGGGACGGTGCAAGAGAGGAAGACCCTGGATGAGATGGACTGATTCAGTGATTGGGGTAGTGGGAGTAGGTGTGTCAGGGACAGTGAAGTTGGCACAGGATCGAGCAGGGTTTAGGGTTCATGTACATAGGGTTGCTATGAGTCACAAGTGACTCAAAAGCACATAACAACAGCAACAATCAGAATATTATGAAAAGTTATACTCAGATAAAAACTTAGAGGGAAATGACAAATTCCTTGAAACTCAGGCCTTACCTAGATTGACTTGGCCAGATGTAGAACACTTGAACAGACCAAGAACGCTTGAACTAGAAGAAATTGAGCAGCTCATAAAAAGACTCCCTGTCCTAGACCCGATGGCTTAACAACTGAATTCTACCAAACATTCAGAGAACATTTAACATAAATTCTACTTAAGTTATTTCCAAATAACTAGAAAACGAAGACACACTCCCAGAGACATTCTATGAAGCAAGCATAACCCTAAGACCAAAACAAGGCAAAAATATTACTGAAAAAGAAAACTACAAACCAATATCTCTCATGAACATAGACACAAAAATCCTTAACAAAACCCTAGCCAATAGACTCCAAAAGCACATAAAAAAATTCACCATGACCAAGTGGGATTCATAAGAGATGTTCAAGGATGATTCAACATAAGAAAACAATCAATGTAATTCATCACATTAACAAACAAATAACAAGAACCATATTGTTGGGGAATGTTGGGGAGGAAAGGAAGACCTCTAGCCAGGACAGATCACCTAAGCTGTGCATTAGTGCAAGCCTCCCAGCGGCCTTTAATACAGGATAGAAAACACTCTCTTGTCTTTGGCTGTACTGGCTTGAGAAAGCTTGCTACCTGGGAAGATGGCTGCCACATCTGATGAGCTGGGAGTAGTCTGCATGATGCTGAGATTCTATCCAATCCACATGTCCCATGTCTGCAAGCCCACCCTATCCTGGCTTTCTGTTTACTTGCTTATATATAAGTGCACTGCAGCCCCCAGTAAAATCGAGCTGGAGCGACTCTCTGGACGGCTCCTGGAGAGGTGTATCCCCGTCGTGCTTACCCCCATTAGGGTGTCACTGCTCTTACCGGCGAACGGACAACACCACCGTATGATCCTAGCAATTGATGCAGAAAAGGCCTTTGATAAAATCCCTTTTGTCAAAGGGCATATGATACCCTTTCCTGATTAAGACACTCAGGAAAAATTAGAACAGAAGGGAATTTCCTCAACATAGTCAAAAGTATATATGCAAAACCAAGAGCCATATCATTCTCAATGGAGAAAGACTAAAAGCACTTTCTTTGCAAACAGGGACCAGACAAGGATGTCTACTGTCACTACTTCTTTTCACTATTGTATTGGAGGTACTTGCTAGGACAATATGACAAGAAAAGGAAATATAAGGCATCCTGATTGCCAAAGAGATGGTTC